AGAAGCAGTGTGGCCAGCAGGTCTAGGGAAGTGATTGTCCCCCTGTACTCAGCTCTGGTGAGGCCACACCTCGAGTACTGTGTTCAGTTTTGGGCCCCTCGCTACAAGAAGGACATGGAGGTGCTTGAGTGGGTCCAGAGAAGGGCGACGAAGCTGGTGAGGGGTCTGGAGAACAAGTCCTACGAGGAGCGGCTCAGGGAGATGGGTTTGTTCAGCCTGGAGAAGAGGAGGCTCAGGGGCGACCTTATTGCTCTCTACAGGTACCTCAAAGGAGGCTGTAGCGAGGTGGGGTTTGGTCTATTCTCTCACGTGCCTGGTGACAGGACGAGGGGGAATGGGCTAAACTTGCACCAGGGGAGTTTAGGATATTAGGAAGAACTTCTTTACTGAGAGGGTTGTTAGGCATTGGAACAGGCTGCCCAGGGAAGTGGTTGAGTCACCATCCCTGGAGGTCTTTAAAAGACGTTTAGAGGTAGAGCTTAGTGATATGGAGCTTAGTGGAAGACTTGTTAGTGTTAGGTCAGAGGTTGGACTCGATGATCTTGAGGTCTCTTCCAACCTAGACGATTCTGTGATTATAAGGTGTTTTCATTGACAGTTTCTTCCACAGATATTAACTAAAGACCAAACTGCATGAAACTTAATTTGGGATTTTAAGTTTCATAAACAGAACACCTCACAAAATAAAGATCCTACTTCCATGCTAATATTTTTGATAATAACAGAGCAAAGAAACACCAAGAATATAGAATGCAGGTAGAATATTCATCCAGACTATGGAAACAAACAGGTTTCTGAAACTCTCAAAATGGAGTATTTTCCACCACACATAGGAGGAACATCAGTGCTATAGTTAATCAGGTGCATTCACTTCTGCCTCCTCTTAAAGTAGAAGGAAACTCTACCTCACGTCTCTTAGAATTATTTTTTACTTCACATTTTTGGGAAACTTGAATAGGAATTTCACCTTTTATAAAAGTTTCTGGATGACTACATAAATAGAGAGTCATTCCTATTTAAATGAACAAAGAAAGCCTTCAAGCCAATGAAATTCAGGAAAAAAAAAAAATAATCCTAAAACCATTAACTAAGTACCAAAGCCTTCACCTAATTTGCCCTGAATTAATAACAGAGAAAAAAATACAAACAAATCTTACACTAAGGAACATTATCTTTAAGCACTTAGAAGTAAAGACTATAATGAATAGTTCAAAAAGACAAAAAGCTTGTGAGAATCAAACTTCTTTGAAATCTAGAACATAAGAAATGAGTATTCACTACTAAAACACATAAAAGTATTCATTTGCAGAATATCTATATACATATATTTTCTATTGGATGGATTCCTCTGTAATTTAAGTATTTTATGTAGCAGAGGTGCACCACTATTTTTTTTTTTTTCTGCCAGATGATGTTTCCTGACATACTGATCACTTGACAGAACTCTGACTAATGATACTTTGTTAGTTTTATTTAAAATGGAATATGTATGCATGGCTCCTTAATAAATTTTAAACAAACAAACATTTGACTTGCCATTTTTTCTTTCTGACAAAGAACACACAAAAAAAAACAGTATGTGGTACATAAAAAGTGCTTAGATATTCCTACTGTAATTCACTGCTGACATTCATTCTGATTTTGCTCTGATATTATATGACATTCTGATATTAATACTGAATTGAATCCAATCTCAACATACAAGAAGAATATCAGAAAAACAGATTAGAAAACATGAGTTATGCTTTTTATTAGGGCTAGATTCATCTGTTTAGAGCATGTAAGAGTTAGACAAAACACCAAAGTCTCATTGTACATTTCAGATAAAATGCACAATAAAACTTGGCTACACCTTTTCTCCTTCTCCTACGCATTATCTTTTCTGAGATGTTTCCAGATTTCTCTATTCTGGCAGCTCAGCTCCCTTTCTAAATTTTTATTTCTTTTAGAATTTATTCTTAATTTCAGACAATAACCATTCATTTCAAATTGCTTTCTATTATGCAAACTACAGAATGCAGGAGATTAGGCAGAAGAGCTCTGCAGACCCCATCCAAGACCCCATTCAGCAGACCCCATCCAAGATTCTGCTTTGGTGATCAGCTTCAGCTTTATGAAGTAGCGAACTTGATGTGGATGCTGAGAGGAAATGAAGAAGTGCATCTCAAATTTGAATAAATCATAAGTAAAAGGTAAAATCTAAGTAAAGTTCTATAGACATAAAAATTCCTATCTATGGTTCCCTTAAATGCATTATCAAATGTATAATCAAAGTTATGTTTTAAAGATGAATTCTTCAGGATAAACTTCTGGTGTCACTCATACAGAGTGGGATGCTTTATAATGTTACTGGAAACCTGTCTGTTGCATAACTTACATTGGTGTTTCAGTTTGAAAACATTCAATGTCAACGAAGACCTCACAGGATAATCATACATCAATGCCATTTTTTGATGAAATGTGTTGCTAAAATGAAGCAGCACCAAAAAGGTGGTAGAAATCTCTTCCAACTTTTACTCATGCTAGTGAGGACTCATATAAGTAATCTTACTGGAGTTAATAGGGCTCCTGACAACATGACCAGCAAGAGAAATGGTTCTAGAAGGAAGGACTCCCTCAGAAAGCAATGGATTCAACACTGAACATAAGCCAATTTCTAGCCAGAAATATAAGACTACAGGCAAATTTCAATTTACAAGTGTCTCATTTTATTCTCCTTGGACAACTTGTGTCTGGATCAATGATTGGAAATTTTGTTCTGTTTTCCTCACTTAAGTGAAAAGCTAAGGTAATTTTAATAAACTAAGGTACACTGCAAATCATGTGGTCTTCTGGAAATCTCATTCTCCAAAGCCATTCTCTAAGCAATTCCTAATGGAATAGGTATATTTGTAACACCCTGAGATTTTACAACATATTTTTGTCAAAATATTTGCAGACCACAAATACATAACTATTGTCACTTTTGAAAAGTTTCTTTGTATTGTGCAGGAGATTTCAAAGATTCAGCAGTGGAGAAAAAACAACAACAACAAATCAGAAATTACTATGTTTCTAAATTCCAATTCCTTTCTGTTTCAAAAGGAATGAAAAGGGCATTAATAAAACTCCTCCCCAGAAAGCAGTGCAGCTCTGGAAGTAGCTCCCAGTAGAAACAGTGAGACCAAGCAGCCCAGCCAGTGTTAACATAGAATTTGCTAGGTTTATCCATAGACCACATGGCCTAACTGCATGCAACTTACATGAAAGTAATGAGGTGGCCCATCTCTTTCTGCCCTCCTAAATGAATAACATTTTCTATGGCCTGGCATTCCACATCATCATTTACATTTATGCAAATTGAACACAAAATACTATCAATTTACAGGAATAGCTTATATCACCCATTTTTGATCCATTTTGTAGAGGGCTGGTCAGTGGCAGAAAGGGCCGAGTATCTGATAGCTAAGAACAACATTTTTCTGATGTCACTATTTTGATGTCAGAATTCATATTCATTTATAGTGCTAAATAGTTCTTAGCAAATTCATCTTAAAATGGAAAATAGATGTAGTGTCACTCCCCACTTTTCTGGGCTTTAAAGGTAGGACTTTTTCTGTAGTCATTAATATATATGTATTAATATTAATTATATAGAGAGTCAGAATCATAAAATCATATATTTCCCTTTACAAAGGTTTCAAGAACAGGAGATAAAAGTCCTTTGTGCACAGTCATTTGATAATGTACAGGCTCCATTGTAGTAACCAGAAGGTGGTTTTTCTGAAGCTGGAATCAAAATTTTAATTAAGTGCATTTCCATAGATTAAGACTACTACCCTGTACATAACATTCAAGAACAATCTTAGAGCCAGAGAAGACCGTGCATCAGCACATCTTTTATAAGATAAGAGAAGCTAGATACATGAGCATACCATAAGTTTCTTGTGTCTACAGAAATAATACAGTAAGAGTATTCTGCAGCTATCCTGTTTTCAAGGTGAAAAGACATTTGTCTTAAGGTATGAGTGTTGCCAGTAAAACCCAGACCTTCACTAGTTTTTTAATGAAAGGGAGAGTGCTACTGCTTCATTCAGATGTATGGCTTTGACACAGGCATGAAAATTGAGCCTGAAGGCACACAACCCACGTGTGGTAGATAGAGAAGAAAACCCAGATTTCTTCAAGTCTGGAAAATCTCAGTGATAAAATATATCACTGATAACAATTATTTATATGAGGAGAATAACAAAGAGATGTGCACATTCAAGAAAAAGTCACGCTCTCCAGGCCAAAATGAGATTAAAATAAGCAGAAAGTGAAAGAAAGTGTTTTTTGTCCCTGTGGACTTAACTTTATCTACCTTTTGATGCTCATTTGCATGAAATTGACCTGGAGGTATAGCCTCAGCAGTAGTCTAGCAACAAGAAAAAAGGTTCATCTAAAGTATTGAATTAAACAACTGAAACTCTGAAAGACAGAAAATGCACAGGGTCCCAATAGAGACAGCAATATATTGGTGCTATGAAGACCAGCCAAATGACCTCAATCTAACCATTAGAGATACAGACAATTATTTTTTATTTAAAATATAGAGACTTTGAAGTACTTCAGTTGCCAAGAAATGGAAGATGCAGAAGCAAGGTAACCTTTAATATTAACCATTGATGCTAGAGTCTTTTTAAATAGGCTCAAATTAGATAAACTAACTAAGCAAATTGCCCTACCTTTCAAAGTCAAAGAGAATTTACTAAACAATCAACACTTACAACCATACAAAAAAGACCAGCTGAAATCTAGCAGTACATATTTGAGACATGTTGATGGTTTTCAAGTCCATAACATGAACATCACTTTCACAATAAAACATAATTTTCAACAAAATAGGGATCTTATAAGCAATCTGTGAAAATGGTCTCATACAGCTGAATTTTCAAAATATTTGCCAAAAATGGAGGGAAATTCCTAACAAGTATAAAGTGATTTGTCTACTTAAATGACAACTTTCAGACCCAACTTACTTCTTTGTAGCCGAAAATGATACGCCCATCATTGAGAAGGGTGGCCTGAAAAGTGAAACTGCCCAGGTTGTAATTATCCTGCAGATGGACATGGTCCCACTGGACAACTAGTGCTGTGCCTGTGAACCCCAGAGTGGGGGTAGAGAGGCAAAGGGAAGAAAAAATGTGAGAAAAATATTAACTGACTGTAGGAAAAGTACTTAACTGCAGTTACTTGAAACAAAAACAGTGATTTGTCTCTTTCAGCAACTTTCAGACCAGCATCTTGAAGTGCTAAAGATATTACACACACATGTTGCTGTTGAAATCTTCTTAAAGGTAGACATCATAGTGCCAAAATATATGTCAAATAACTACCTCAACTACTCACACAAAAGTCTGCTAAAGCAAGAGGGGTCAGGTGACTTGTTTGGAGTTGCACAAAGAGTCAACGATCACTAACGGTAGAATCCAACATTCACAGGTGTGCTGCTGCAACCACTGCTCTACAGTGGCTTTTCTTAAACTACATATATAAATATATATTTACACACATACATACAACCTGATGGCTTTGAAAGGTGAAGTGTTAATAGCTTTGCCTGTCTTGTGAAAGTTATTATTTGAGTAATACAGATTCTTCCATTAACTACACATTAATATAAATAGCATTAATTTTTTTTCTGCATGGTACAAGTCCTCACTGAGGTTCTGCAAGTTGAAAAAATATTAGATGCTCGCAATAAATAAATTTAGTTTAAATTAAAACCACTAAGAATTCATAGACGGGGTAAATATTGAGTCTGCTGTGCAGAGATTTAGTTGCAAGAGACTTGTTAATATTCATGGGAGTTCTCTGGCTGAATATCCACTTATTGCACTAAAAATGTACCCCAAGTGACTTGCATACCCTATGAGCATGTTTTACAGATGTTGAGGATTACAGACACCTTCAGGCAGTTTGGCTGAAAGACAGTTATCACCAAAACTGTGTATACTGAAAATGTCTTTTTCGTCTCTAGGACTATATCCCTTCCCCAACATATTTCTTTCTTTTGCATTAATGGGAGTTATGTGCTTTGATTCACAACATTTTAATTTTATTTCTTGCTGGAGTGTTCACGGTGGGTCAGTATGCTTCTAGCTCAATGCATTTTTGATATATTCTTGAAATATATTTTGTCACAGATATTCAGTTATTCTTATTAGCATATCTTGTCAGGGGATGTCACAGAGCATGCAAATTTTTGGTGCATACTGCAGTAAATCTGTTGCATCATTCGATCACGTGTCTTTCATAAGTATAATATATGCTCATTAATTTTGCACACGGTGCACTTTTCCTTATTTGACTACATTTATTAACTGTTTTCTGAATATTCAGTTGATTATATTTTTATAATTTTAAATAAATTTAAAGAGACTTTTACAATTATCATAGCAAAAATAACCAGAAACTTTTATAGTCAGTCCATAAGTGCATCTCAGAATCCCAAACTAAAGTTGATGTCAGCTTCTTCCAAAACACTACGTCCTCATTCCCAGGGCTCTTTGTGTAGGTTTGAGTGTAGGTTTCTTGTAATTAGGTCCATGAATAAGACTTGAATGAGTCATCATGCTATGTGTTTACCCACTACTGATGCAGCCCTAAATTTGCCAGGGGATCAGACAGGGATGAAAAAGAAATAAGGACCTGAAGATACAATTCATTCTTTTACAATTTACAATTTACAAAGCAATTTACAATTCATTGCTTTTTGTTTGGGGTAAGGTAGCAAATTCTTTGTCCTAAAGTACATGGGGTCCAATAGATCATCATGCATTATGCATAAGGAGGGATGCAAAATCTCCCCCCGCAAAAAAATGAAAATAATAAAAAAATCAAATTGGTCATGAAACTGATGTGATACAAGCTGATAAACCTGATATGAAAGAGTGGAAGTCAAGAATACAATGAAAATTAGCAGTGACTTTCCCAGAGCACTCAGATTCTGTCAGTAAAGATGACAAATGTCAGGCCATAATGTCAGGTAATATATTAAATGAAAATAATCATTTTTTCTGTTTGAAAATTCCCTATGTGAGCAGGAGGATTTTGTCATGTAACTCTACTTTATTGAATTCTTAACAAACAAATGCTGCAAGTAATGACTAGATGGTAAGGAAAAGTTATGATTGGGTGCAAAAGTTATATTTTGATTACTGATCTGAAACATAAAAATTTACATACCTGGTTGGAGATATGATGGAGATATTATTGGACATGGTCATTATTTTTGTATTCAAAGGATGGTACAGGCTTATCAAGGAAGATTAAAACAATCATAGATTTCAGGATTCTAAATTTCATGATTTCTAAATTTTAAATTCAAAATACGCAGTTACTGCCATTGTATTCAATCACTAAAGAGACTTTTGAAATTATTGTAGCAAATTATTTTCTCTTACCTGAGGTAAGGCAGCAGATGATATTTAATCACATCAGTTATGTTTTCAAAATATTGATTATAACTGAGTTTATAAAACAAATTCCCACAGATTTACGACCTTTGAAATATTTTATGGAGCTTCAAGTATAACACTGCAGCACTGCAGTTTGCCTTTTAACCTTTTTATTTACTTATTTATTTATTTATTTTTTACATGGGACTGTTGAGAACTCATGGTATAGATGAGCATATTGGATTCCAGGCTTGGGACTCCATGCACACTTAGTCACTGACAGGTTTATTAACTTTATACCCACCCTACTCCTGTGTATTCTTGGTATTGCATTCCATGAAGGACATTTATTTCCACTTTAGCCAGTAGGTGGACAGTATATATATATTTTCAAGTTCAAAAGAACTTGCACTTTTATAGAAGATATGTTCGTCCTTTTAAAATTGGTAAAATAAATTCTTAGTTTGAGTTTATGTACTTTAACATATAGAAGGGATCTACTCAATTAGGAAAAAGCATTCATGACCCTTTAACCATGTTCTAAATTAAGAAAGGTTTATGGATGTCTAGGAACATTATTTATACAGTTTGTGAGTTTCAAAAAAAAAAAAAAGACATAAAAAATATTCAATTTTTCTTTCAAAAGTAATTATTTAGGAAAATATGAAGAACCAAGGGACACAGACACATTTATTTATGAAGGACTACTACATACCATTATCAAAGTATCTGACTGTTGAATTTCTTGACACACTGGGGTCAAAATTAGCCATTAAGGGTGCAATATATTGTGTAGCTGTTAACATTCGATGTACAACTTCTCCAGTATATATGAAACCTACAATAAAGAAAAAATATTGAGACCATTTCAGTAACTTCTGAAAAGATTTAATAGAATGGCAGGTTTAACTAGGCATTGCCAGGTCATCTGAGAGAAATTAATCCCACCACCAGTTTTATAGTGAGCTAGAATTGCAGGAAGATTGCAGTGAGGCCTGTCAGAAGAACAAGATCCAAGATGAACAATGGAACAATTAGTTCAAGAAGCCAGTTTTCATACAGAAAGAAAAACAGACCCAAGGAAGAACAGTTCTAGTTATGAAAAAAATGCAGATATATGGCATTATCAAAGTGAACCATTTAACAACGTGCATATTCCAGTGTTTTCCATCCTTTCTGGCAACCTGTATTTTTGTCATTCATTTATTTATTGCAAATCATTACCTCTTCAGGAATTAGGCTAACCCTTTTTAATATTTGTAGAGACACAGATTAAGAGACCGTTTCATACAACAAGAGGTGACAACCTTTAAAAAAAAAAATCAGATGAAGAGTGGAAAAGGTAATTTTTTTTTTATTATTTTTTTCATTGTTATAAGGCAAGCCACTATTCTGGTACATTCTCTGCTGTGTTAGATCTCATTAGTTTATCCTATTTACCCACAAATCCACAACAGTCTTCAGATTAATAGTGTGTCATGTACTGCTTCCATCAGCAGTGCTCGCTCAAAAGCTCTTACTAGTTTGGCACAAGAGTTCTTTGAAGAACAGTCACCTGTGTATTTTAATGGCAGGAAAACCCTGCCATTTTATACAATTTATGGTCTAAAAACAAACCTGCATTGCTTAGGCTCGCCAACTCCAACTAACTATAGGGACTAACTTCTTTAAATGCCCAACCTAGAGCCTGACTTAAAAACTTCCATTACTCTGTAGTAAATCTTTTCTTAAGTTCTGTTTTAGCCTTTGCCTTGCTGGTCAAATCTGACAAAATTTAAGTTGATCAGAGCTACAAACAGAACTTCAAAACTAAACTTTGCATATTGCATCTTATCAGCTCTTAAACTGTTTACCAGATGGTGTTGAGCTGCTTGCTTTACCTCCTTCTACTGATTGAATGAATTGTATTCAAACTGCAGATAACAACAACAAAAATATTCAAGTCAGCTGAACACTTTTGAACAAAAAAAAAAAGTGTTTGTAAAATGTTTCATAGAAATTCAGTACTTTACTAGCAAAGTGATAGCACTCACTGCAACACTATTTATGTTTGTGTTTTCTTTTCCTTCTTCAAATATAAGTCTCCTTTCTTCCATAATCCTTTTTACTGTGAAGCCCAAGATGGTCTTTCTTCTAAAATGTAGTGTCAATGCAATACAGCACATGTTGAAGAAGCATAAAAATCTATTCCTTAAACATGATATTCCTTCTCTTACGAAATTCCAGAACTGTGTGGTATACCTGGAATTACTCTTAAGGTAGAAATATCATGTTTAGTCACCTGCAGTTGTATGATATTTAAAAACCTCAATGTGCAACCCCACTTTCTTAATGAAAAGTTTCTTTTCCCAACTTTCTTTTCTCCATCCTAACCACTGGGAGGTGAAACAGACTTGTTAAATGGTTTGCTTAGTACCATACAGAAAATCTCTGAGAGCAATTAAAGCTTCTGGAGTGCTTTAGGCAGCCTTCTGCTCCCATCCTCTTCTGAAACATTTTTCTAAATGCTTGCAACCTGTTTATGGAACTAGTCCTGGAAGTGATAAGATGCTATAAACAAACAAACAAATATGAAGATAGCTCTTTGGAATAATTTTCCTGCATAGCTAGAGCTTAAGCTCAAGTACCATGCAATCAACTCAAGTGGAAATGATAGGAACCCCAAGAAAAGGAAAGCAGGCATGGGGAAAATACAATCAAGTATTCTTTTGAAAAAAATATGTATTAGCAAGGTGATCAGTTAGGCACCTAGCTACCTTTGCTTCATTTAAAGCACACCTATGTATTCAAAGAACAGGGTATTTTAATATCTGGCCACATCCTGGACAGCTGAATTAATTCCTAGAACTAAACTGCATTTTTTTTTTCTTAAGATTCTTTTAACTAAATACCTATATACCAATTTTTCTCTTTTGCCAATTGATGGTGACAGAGAAACATCAATTAAAATATAAAGCTGTCCAAACATAATTACAATTAATACATAAACTTTATTGCTCGTTATTTTAGGATAGCCAACAGTCCCGTTATATATTTTAACACACTCCATGGTAGGTCTATAACCTTGAAACCATTCCTTAGTAATGTTTGAAGGCAATATAAACAAAAACTTTACAACCATATCCATGTGTTAGTACTAATCTTAATACTTCACTACTTATTTATTACTTGCACAGTGCTCCCATCTTTACTTACAGTCTCCCTTTCATGCTTTCATTCCATTTACAGCATAAATGCTACCATTATAACTAATAGTGAGGCAGATACAATAGGAAAACAAAAGACTTGCTTGTGTTGGAACACATAGCTAAGTAAATCAGTGCAGGTAATTAGTAACCAAACAGCGTATTTCCAAGTGTTTGCCGGATGCAGCTTTACTTTAGACAAAAATGGAAAGCAGGAGGTGGATGATAGCTGGGAAGCAGGCAGGTCTTGCATGAAGATCATTCTAATAAGAACTCCAGTCATGCATTGGAACAACTTGAAAAGAAACACAAAGTCACTTCAAATCATCCCAGAGATTCAAAGGCTGTAGCCACTGTTGAGTGTGGACATTTTATCATTGCCACTACAATTTAAAGAAAGTAGCAAATGTAAAATTAACTTATTCCTGGACTTCCGCAGAAAATTGGTTCGTGTTATCTGTGACCTAATTTTCTGACAGTGGTAAATGTTCACGGTTGATTCATTTAGTCAAGGAGGAATATTTCAGACCTACAATTTCCTGAACCACTTAACCTCTCCTTTGTGGGAGGAGTTGGTAGAGTTCTTTTTCAAGCCTCTCTACAAATACTTTATCTAGAAGCATAACATGCTTTCTAAATACTGGAATGAAAACAGACAGAAATGAGTGCTCAGAATATTTAAAATTTTATATGTACATATAAATCTATCAAAAAATAAGGATGAACTAATAATATAGCCACCTGTAAACCAAAGGGGGTATATTCCTTGTCCTCATATTGTACAAATGCACACACAATGTCATAGAGAAAAAAATTATATATATACAACTAATTAGCTATGTATGAAAGTAGATTTTCTCTTGATGCAGGACCCTCAGTTGGTTTAAAAATGCACTTCACATCTGCATCTCCTCTCTGAAATATGCTCTTTATCTGTTGTATTTTAATATAATCAGCAGTAGACTTTTTTGTTTAAGGGAATTTTCTGAGAAATCTTTCGAGATCAAAAATGGAGTGCACTGTTCTAAAAGAGCACAGTTATTTCAGCAACAATTTTTTGGTTGGCAAATTCATTTCTAATATTTCATTTAAATTTAGGGATGACAAAACTGAGCTTTCCCATCACTTCTGTTGAATATACTAACCTGTCATTTCAGTGGCTTAAGTGGAATAACCCTGGATGCACATAATGATCTCAGGGCATAACTGATTATTGAAGTAATATCAAAATAATACTAAAACAATTTGCACATAAACTTTCTGTGGTTTCTTTTTCCTACTCCTGGCTGTACACAAAATCGGTATCACTTAGAACATTTTTGATAGCATTTGCTAAATGGGAAGAATAACAGAATTCAAAGCAGCACAGACAATGAGGCCTTTGAAGTTGCTATTGTGTGTCTATAAAGATAAGATAAAACATATGATATGCAGACAACATACAAATGAAACATCTATATTGATAATTATCTTCTCCCTTCTAACGCCCTTATGAACAAGTTACATAAACCAGAGCCTGCTTTATCATATTTGACATCATGATAATCTGTTTCTTCACTTAAGCATCTAGCTGAATTAGAACAAAAGTCCCAATAGATTACAATTTTGTTTATGATTAAAAAAAATAAAATCTAAAACAATTAGTCATATCTTTAAAGTCATACCTTATATTGAATACAGAGCATAAATGAATTATATATCTCTGTGCATGTGATTAGTAGACTGAAGTACTGCAACACTTCAGTCTTTACCTATTTGGTGATGTAACCTTGCCTGCTGCCAGCTGCCCCTTCCTTCCCCTTCCTTAACAGAATAAGGGGAAAAATAAGATGAAAAACTCATTGGTTGAGATACAGACAGGGAGATCACATACCCATTGCTGCCATGGGCAAAGCAGATTAGACTTGGGAAAACCTAATTTAATTTCTTGTCATTTGTAATAGGTTTGGATAATGTAAAACAAAGACAAGTTAAAACAACACCTTCCCCTCCCCCCCCCCCCCCCCACACACACTTTCCCTTTTATTCCTAATTTTATTACCTTTCACCTCCTTTCCTAAGTGCCACAGGGAGATGGCAGTTCATAAAACTTCAACTTTGTCATTCTTTCCTCTGCACACTTCTCTCCTGCTTTGGTGTTAGTCTTAACCATGGGCTGCAGCCCTTCAGGATAACCCTGCTCCAGCGTGGGTCCTATCCACAGGTGGCAGTTCTGTCAAGGCATATCCACCTGTTCCAGCAAGGGTTCTTTACAGACTACGGTGCCAGTACCTGCTCTGGCCTGATCTCATCCATAGGCTGCAGGAGAATCTCTGGTCTGGTGCCTGGAGCACCTTCTCCCACTCCTTCTTTGACCCTGGAGTTCACAGGGCCACTTCTGACTCTTCTTCCTTTACTCCTTTCTCCCTCTGCAGCATTTCTCACTCTTTCTTAAAACTGTTTTCCCAGAGGTCTCACCAGCTTTGCCGATGGGCTCAGCTGTGTGCTGAAGTAGGGCTGCTGGAGCTGGCTAGAACCAGTTGTGTCCACTATTGGGCTCCCCTTCCACAGAAGTTACCCCTGTAGCCCCCCTGCTACTGAAACCTTGTCAGGGACACTTGACACAGCCTAATACCTAAACTAATATTTAACTTATTTTACATATGACCTAATC